GAAGACATACAAATGGCCAACGGGTACATAAAAAAGCTTGAACCCTGACTGATGTGGCTCTGTTAGTGGGATGTCGTCCCTTGCACCAAAAGGTCACCAGTTCAATTCTCAGTCAGTGCACATGCCCAGATCGTGGGCTTGATCCCTGGTGAGGCATGTGCAGGAGTCATCCAATTGATGTTTCTCTCTTTCTCTCTCTCTCACTTCCATTCTCTCTAAACTCAACAAACACTTTAAAATAAAAAGAGGTGCTTGACATCACTAAGCATCAAGGAAATACATATCAAAACTATAATGAGCTATAACTTCACACCTAAAAGTACCTATTTATAGGAAAGAGTTGATTACCATAGGGTCTCAAAAAAGAGATTATCTTGAACTTTCTAGGTGGATAGTGAAAATACAGGGGTCCTTATATGTGCAAAGCAGAGTCAGAGAAAGAGATGTGAGGATAGCAGCAGAGGTCAGACTAATTCAATTTCTGGGAGTCAGAAGCCAAAGAATGTGGGCAACATCCAGAAGCTAGAAAAGGGAAGAAAACTGATTCTTCCTTGGAGCCTCCAGAAACACATTCTACTGTCGTCTTGATTTTAGCCCTGTGAGACTCATTTTGGATTCCTGAATTTCAGAACTCTAAAATTAAAATTTTGTGTTGTTTTAAGTCACTGTGTTTGTGGTCATCTGTTACAGCAACAATAAGAAACTGATACAAGTCCTTAGGAAAGGACTACCAGGTATTTCCTTTAAAGCAAGAATGTGATTGCTTAAAAATAAAAGCCACATATGACAAACCTACAGCCAACATCATATTCAATAGGCAAAAAATAAAACCATTTCCTCTAAAAACAGGAACCAGACAAGGATGTCTGCTTTTACCACTCTTATTCAACACAGTACTGGAAGGCTTAGTCACAGTGATGAAACAAGAAGAAATAAAAGGCATTCAAATTAGAAAGAAGGCAATAAAGCTCTCAGTATTCACAGATAACATGATGTTGTACACAGAAAACCCTAACAAGTCCATCATAAAACTATAAGATTTAATAAATGAATTTGGCAATGTATTAGGATACAAAATTAACACCCAGAAATTGATGGCATTTGTATACTCCAATAATGAACTCTTAGAAAGAGAAATGAAAAAAAAATTCATTTTACCTTGCATCAAAAAAATTTAATCAACTTAACCAAGTAGGTAAGAGGCCTATACTCAGAAAACTACAGGACATTGAAAAAGGAAATACAGTAAATATAAACAAGTGGAAGAAATGGTCATGTTTGGTAGAATTAACATCATTAAAATGTCCATATTACCCAAAGCAATCTATAGATTCAGTGTAATCCCTATTAAAATACATGGCATATTTCACAGATCTAGAAAAAAATACTCAAAAAATGTATATGGAACCAAAAAAGACCCTGAGTAGCCACAGCAATCTTGAGAAAGAAAAAGTTAACAGAATCGCAATACCAGACATCAAGTTATCCAACAAAGCTACTGTAGTCAAAACCACCTGGTATTGGCACAAGAATTCACAACAATGGACACAAATAACTCAAGTCCAATATTGTTGCGCTATGCCAGCACTATACAACATACGGTACTAGAGTATGTATGTTTACAAATAGATAGTCAGCACAATTTCAATTATAAAATATACAATGTTCTTTATCTATCCCATTTAGTTTTTATTAGATGTCCCATGTTAAATTTCATCCATCCTTCAGGACCTAATTCAAATCTCTTCTCTACCAGGGTCAACCTTGGTGAGGGTACCACAAATGAACCTTCTCTCCTCTGATTCTTAGCTGTTTTCCTTTGCCTCTCTTACGAATTAGCTTTTACCATGATGGGTAAGCTCTGATTGAAAGACCCATCAAAATCTTACTTGTTCTTCTAACCCAGCTAACGACGTTCTCTTTTATTTGAAATCATCCCTGACTCTCCCTAACCTGCTCTAAGTAATTTACTATGCTTTCTCTTTAAGCTCGTGGTAAAGGTAGAGAACACATTGTCTGACCCTTACTAACTTACATTGTTGAGAAATACTAAACATTTATGTACTCACTGAGGGCAGAAGACTAAGATATTTTTTTCATCTTTGCTCCCCAGTACATATTATAGATTCTAGATCAATGTTTCTAAACCTGGGCACTGTTGACATTTGGAGCCAGATAAATATTGTTATAGGAGCTATCCTGTTCATGTGGACTATTTTGCAGTATTCCCCTCAATCCTGACATCCAGAATTTCTCCAGCCATTGCCAAATATGTCATGGGGGATGAAATGAGAACCACTGATCTAAACCACAGTGGAAATTAAATGTGTGCTGACTTGATGTCAAGAATTGTTAGGTTTTTTCCTTGGCTTTAACTCTTTCACAATAAGCATATATTTAAATGAACTAGTGGTTTAAATAAGTTGCAAATAACACTAAAATGTTTCCTCTGAGGCATTAAAAATAGAGTTTACAAGGATGATATATTCATATATTTATAAGTGAAATGGTGTAGTATATTGATTAATGTGCAAATCCTGAGTGAGACTGAATAGGTTCAAATAAAAAATTCATGGGTTTATATCCCAGCTCTCAGCTTCCTAATTCAATAACCTGAGGCAAGCTACTATACCTTGATGTACTTCATATACTCATCATAAAATGAGGATGTGAATAGTAATTACCTCAACAAGACTATGTGATGATTACATATGTCAAGCACTTGGAGCAGTGCCTGACAACTGTCAGTTACTAGTATTATTATGTATTTGACAAACTAACTGCTACACACCGAGCATTTTACAAGTGATGAGAATTTAACTATAAACAAAAAATTCAAGGTCTTGTGGAACTTGGAATCTACAAGGTAAGGAGGAGAGGAATCCATAATAATAAAAGCATAATATGCTAATTAGTCCAGATAGCCAAACAACCTTCCAAGCCCCTTGCACAAATTTTGTGCATTGGGCCTCTAGTACACGATAAAGCACTAAAAATGATAGAATGGCAGGGCAACCAGAAAAGGCTGCACTGAGGTCCCATGAAGCAAGAAAGCTGTCCCAGGAGACAGATAAAGGAAGTCTTTCAGGGAAATGTCTTAAAAGCCAGACCACATTGAATGTGGTTAAGGTATGGCAAGGAGCACAGTGAAAACCAAATATTATGTTTGGTGTTTCTTAAAGGAAAAAAGCAAAATTATAAATTCCCTTTGAGGGGGAAAAAAAGACTACAAAAACATTCCAAAAACTGAACACATGCTTTGTTCGATTGATAAGACGATGGTAATGCATTTCTTTTTTCAATCCAAATATTCTGAATATGTATTAATGTAGTATTTTTTAAAAAGGGCTTTATCAATGAAAGTACTTGTAAATAAAAGAGAATTTCCAATTACACAGGATTATTTCTAATTTCTACTTATTTATAGCCAACACATTAATATTTTATTTTATTTAAATGTTCTAATGCATGCCTAACACAATATATTGCAAAGTTTACTTTTACGAACATTTCATTTAGTATTTTGACTAAAAAGTTTTTCTCTACTTACATACTGAACACAATTGTATCTTTTCAGCTGACATAGTTACTAAGATAGACATTTTGTCTTTTGAAATTTCTTCACATCTTCTATGGTGAAAACTGTTCTCAATTTAATGAACTTTTCTTCAAAGAAGTAGTCAGTGAAACTACTGTGATAGTTCACTTAACTGCTCTTTCGATAAAGATTTTTCTATTTCAAGGCAGCAGCAATGGATTTGCAGAAATGATGTTACACATCTAGGAAACAAGTAAATTTGTAATGTTTTCATTTATGTTCAAATATGCTACTTCTAAGTATATTTCTTAAATGCAATGCCTTGGTTACAACAGAGTTATAATTTATCATTGGTCCTGTGCATTTTATCCCCTTTGAATCTGACAGAAATACAACTTTCTATCTTTGCTATTTTTTGCATTGTCTTTTGGTAATTTTCTTTACCTAATATTTCAATTACACTTTAAAGCACGCAAAGATTTAACATTTGACTAGAAACTCGAAATATGTGTTAAGCTGGGGATGGTTTTAAAGTGCAAACCACAGAAACTCTTTACTTCTTATAACTATGGACATTTAAAAAAAGAAAGCTAGTAGGAGAAAATTATATAAGGATTTAGATCAAGAGTCCAGAAAGCAAACTCTGTTGGAAAAGTATGTGACATTAAATTATAAAAGAAGAATTCAGGGAAATTCTCTCTTAAATTTACTCACCCCATGTCAAAAAGGCCAACCACTGTTCTAATATCATGCCTACAGAGCAGGCATGGTGAGTGTTTGGATGTTGTGGCATTTATATGGTCTGTTACCATCAGGCCCCCTCTCTGCCCCCACCTTGTTTTCTTTTTTACACACAGGTAAAGGGTAGGATAGGAGTGTGGTTGCTGGTGAATACAGAAAATATTTATACAAATTTTTATTTCATTCGACAATAAAAAAGCGCCAATAAGACATATTAACAAAAAAAGTTGATTTTTACAGACCCAAATAACTATATTTATTTTTGAAAATAAACACAAAAATTGTTTTAATAGATGCATGGCATTTTCAATTCATCACAAATAGTGTTACTTAATTTTAAATTTTATGTAGTGATTACGTATATATTATATTATCTATTATCAAAGTACTTCACCGAGGTGTTTTAAAATAAACAAATTTACTAATATCTATTGAAATCTCTATGTAATGCAAAAATTAGTTTGTTTTATATATCTAGTCAAGAGACTATAGATAAAATTATCTTAATCACTCAGTATATCTTTACATTACATTTTCAGTCAACACAATGCCAGAATATTTTAGCACACATACTCTTAGGAACAGTTCTTAAAAAAATTTAGCATTTCAAAATAGGAAAAAATTTTAATTTCAAATAAAATATTACTTGAGAAAGCTGTGTTTCTTCCTAAAAGACAAACAAATAACCAATAAGAAAAACTACTTGTTTTTATCTTCTTACCTTCCTCCAGTTCTTCTGTATCAAATGTAGTGTCCAAGGCTGTACCTTTATATCTTTTTAACTTTCTTCTCCTTTCCATAACTAGCAATTAAATGATGGTATCTTTTCATAAAGAGAAAATATATATGAATATCAGCATTTATAAACAGTCAATTGAATACCAAATTACCAAATTAAGACCTCAGACATTAGCGAGTGCCTTGCCAAGGATGTCACACATTGGCGCTGACCTCAAGCAACCTCTCAAGCGAACTGCATTAACAGACACCATTTTTATTTCATGTACTCCCATTTTCTGGCACTTCTTTTTTACCTGCCATCACAAATAAGCCATTAGCAAGGTAGAAAAAATAGCTTGAGGTTCTATTTGGCATATAAATCTGCTGGGGAGGCCATAACAAATACCATACTGGGTGACTTAAATCACAGAAATTTATTTTTTCATAATTCTGAAGGCTGAAAGTCCCCGTTCAGGATGCCAGCAGGATGGGTTTTCTGTAAGAGCCATAAGGGGAGGATCAGTCCCAGGTTTCTCTCCTTGGCTAGTGGATTACTGCCCTCTTGCTGCCTCCTCACTAGGTTGTCCCTGTGTGCATGAGCACCTCTGATGTCTCGCTGTATGTCGTACTCTCCCCCTTTAAAGGAAACCAGTCAGATTGGATTAGGGCCCAACCTAATGCACAGTCATTTCAACTTATTACCTCTTTAAAAGCCCTTTCTTCAAATATAGGCATCCACATTTTTAGTTATTGGGGATTGGGACTTTAACACATGAATTTGATGGGGTTGGGGGACCGTTACACAATTTAGCTCATAGCATTTGGGCTTAACAGTCAAACAACACGTGAACACAATTAATAGGGACTGAACCATGCCCAGTAAAGAATAACCCTTTTCTCCATGCCAATATGAGACATATTCACACACACAAAAAAGACACCCTGATTTTAAACACCTAAATAATTATATTTATTTTTGAAAATAAACAGCAAAAAATGTTTTAATAGATACATGTCAATTTCAATTAATCACGAATATTGTTATTTAATTTTAAGTTTGATGTAATGATTAGGTATATGGTTTCAGTATTTCAATGAAAGAAACAAGGCAACATATGGGTTAAAGCTAACTGTAACATAAATATCTAAACATAATTCCCTCATTTTATAGTTTCACTTATTTTAAACAAAAAAACAAACAAACAAACAAAATTTATGAGAGCTCTGGCCAGTGTTGCTCAATAGTTAGAGAGTTGGTCATACACCAAAGGGTTTCAGGTTCGATTCCCTGTCAAAGGCATGTATTGGGTTGCGAGTTTAATTCCTGGCCCGGGTAATAGTGTGGATAGGAGGCAACAAATCGATGTGTGTCTTTCACCTCGATGTTTCTCTCTCTCTCTCTCTCTCTCTCCCTTTCACCGTCTTTCTCTCTCCCTCCCTCCCTTCCACACTGTTTTTAAAAATCAATGGAAAAGATATCCTCTGATGAGGATTAACAACAACAAAAACAAAACAAAACAAAAAAATATGTATAAGAAAGATTTTCTATGCTTCCTCTCTTAAGGAATCATAGAACCTATGTCCCAGAAAGCGTGAAAAATGGTACTAATAAGCAAAGGCCACGTATGTGCTAACTGTGGTAGAAAGTTAACAGCTATTCAAGCAACAACCGTCACAATTACAGAAAGCTTAGTTCCCATTGCAAAAGAGGGACAAAAAAAAAACTTTTCTAAATTTTATTTTATTTTCTTACCTACTATTAAAATCAGAAATATATGATCATACATGAAAAGTTTTATCTTTTGTGTTCGTGAGAATATACTTATTACATTGCTAATGTGTAAACACAATTAAAAGAGATTGTGTGAATTAATTATATTTTGCCAACCCTATTGCCCTGATTTTTATTAATGGCTATGTCACTAGTTATTGGAATCCCCTCTCTTTGCATTCTTTAAATTCCCAGGCCACGATGAGTTAAATTGTACATTCTGCCTACCTGTAGTTCTTATATTGATTGGACCCTACAAACAGGTGAAAGCAAGGATCCTTGCATCCATGGGACCAGAGTTCATAAAGTGGTCACCCACACTGCAGAGTCTATTCCAGCATTGTATTTGGGGGCTCATGTTTCTTTTCTTATGATCAAATTCCATACAATTGTTAAAAGATATGAAGTGTCACTTACATAGTAAAACCATTAAAAGAAGCATATTCCTCAGCTGTGAATCCATAAATATCTTGGCGAGATAGGTCCACTTCATGCTGAAGAAGAAGACTAACCAAATTTGTTGGTTCATCACTTAGAGCAATCATAAGGGCTGTTCTGGAACAAGAGATAGAAATGTCTATTTATGGATCAAACATGTCTTGTACTTTTTTCAAAAGTTAATCTTTAAATTTACTGTTCAAGTGTAGAATCTCGATCAGGAAATGAGCCAGGGCAAGTATGTAAAAAATGGGGCAGATCTGCTCAAAAACCTGTGTCAATCCCAGATCTTATTGGGAGTCTAAAGATAGAGTCTCTAGGAAGCAGCTAGCTCAATGGTTTTTCAATGCCTCCTTTCCAAAACCCTGGGGTTTCAAGGAGATGTCTCAAAATGTTATGGAGGAGTGTGTCTGAAGCTCTTGGTTCCCTACCCTCATTTAACTACAACATCTAGGAGGTAGAGATTAGGTTTCTGTGTAAAATTCTGTTATAAAAAGTTATCCTATATAATAAAAACATAATATGCCAAGTTTCTGGTCATCTGGTCATCCCTTCAATCAATCAAAGTGTGATATGCTAATGATATGATAAGGCCACTCAACCCCTCACTATGACGTGAACTGACCACCAGGGGGCAGAGAGTCAACCAGTCGACCAGTCACTATGATGTGCACTGACCACCAGGGGGCGGATGCTCCCACCAGTAGGTTAACTTGCTACTGGGATCTGCCTGATCCGGACTGAGCAAGATGGGCTGGACATACCCTGGAGCCTTCCTGTAGTCCCTCCCCAGCTGGCCAACCTCCCTTGTCCCTCCCCAGCCCCTATTATGCATCTTGGGGTCCCTTGGCCTGGCCTGTACCTTCTTGCAATCCCGGACCCCTCAGGGGATGTCAGATAGCCGATTTCGGCTCAATCCCCCAAGCCAGGCCAAAGGACCCCACTGGTGATGAATTCATGCACTGGGCCTCTAGTTATAATAATAAATTTTGTCCAAACATTTGATTTTACAGGAAAACAGGTCTTGGGAATTGCTGAAAACTGATCATTGTTTCACTAATTAGAAAGATGTGGACAAGGAACCCAGAATGCTGGTCAACCTTGTAGCTCTGAAAAGTCAGAGCCAACCACTCCCTATCTAATTGAGACAATGGTAGCTAAAACAACTTCCCCACCAAATAATCATATAAATCCTTACAGATAAGATAATCTGCCAGTTACTGAAATTGCCTGCCTAAGGGCGATGGATGTATCCCAAACCTGAATAAAAGGGATGGCAAAGTGTAGTCCTCCTCCAGAGGTGGGCTACTGCCTGGCCCCCAATATTCCCAAATTAATATTTTTCTAGTCTCTTTCATTTGTGTGTGGCCTTCTCCAGAATCCAAACCCTGAACCAGAACCCTGAACCACACAGGACAAGAAAGGGATTCCCACAGGGAATCTAGGGTATTTACTCAAAATCATATGGCCAGTTCTCTTTCCAAAACAACAACAGCAACAATAATATACTACATTTTATATATCAACATATACATACATGTATATATACATACATGCCCATATATATATATATATATATATATATATATATATATATATATACATATATACTCACACCATCCCATTAGGTTGCTGTAGGTATGTGCTCTTATTTAGCATATCAAATCATACCTTTGATTAAAATCTGAAGCATTCACATTTGCTCCTTTCTTCAGAAGAAATTCCACCATTTCTGCATTGTTTTCAGTAACAGCAAGTAAAAGTGGAGTGTACCCATCCTGAAAATATATTTCAAAGAGTATTTAAATATCGTACATTAACATGCTTTTTAGACCCAATTCAGTTTAAAAGATAAGTGTGCTACAAAGAAAATTCTCTGATATACACTTTAATTTTAAAAGGTTTTGATACATAAAAAAAAAAAAAAATGTCTTTAAAGACCAAGCAAATAAATTAGAGTTGGGCCAGTCAAAAAACAAAATTAAAGTTTCAACTTTAGTCTTAATGCAATTTGTGAGTAAGAGGCACCTAGATTATTTAGGTGATGAGCCCTTAGCATTTAATATAAGAATTGCAAATCATATATTCACATTTAATAATGTTGTTAACAACTGACTTTTCATAGGGTTTCATTAAACTTTCAAGCTGGCACTACAAGTGAGTCGTGTAAACAAATTATCAGTGAACTAAGGTGCTAAGAAGCTTAAAAAAAATACTCATCAGTTTTCCATAATGTCTCAATAGAAAATTTGGATTACTTTTAGTATTGTAAATAATTTTCTAATTCAACCCTATTCTTACCATTATTCATAAGTATGTAAATAGAAAAACATAGGCTTTATGATTCTTATTCATTTATAGGAAAATCAAATTCATTTATATGATTAATATTCATTTATAGGATAAATGTGTTATTGCTTTGGAGGTCAGGATTATCATTTGAAATAAAATGGAGAAAGACTTTTTAAAAAGGAAAACCACACCAGTGTTTAATAATCTCATTCTCCTCCCCAATTTCATTTTTGCAAATTCATACTTTACATAACAAGTGTTTCAACAGATATAAATTATCTGTAATAAATACCTCTTCCATTACCTTCTAAAATATAGTGTTTTTAATAGATGACTACCTTATTTCTTATTTCAAGATTAGCTTTGTGTTCAAGCAGCTTTCTTACTAATGCGACACTTTGACCATAGACAGCATAATGAAGAGCGGTATTGCCATCGAAATCCATCAGATTTGGGTTTGCACCTTGGTCTAGAAGCATAGCAGCACAAGCCTCCTTTTTACACTGCACAGCCTGTCAATACAACAAAAATAGATAAGTAACCAATTTGCTACTCAGGATAAGCTATATTAGTCAAATGTTTAATATTTTGTTTTAAAATATGAAGTTCAACAAAAGTTAACTAGGAAAAGAGCTCAAACACATTCTAATTGAAAAGGAGAAATTAGCGTACCTTAATCAATGGAGATTTCCTTTCTTTATCCACGATGTCTATTTGGCATTGTTTCTCTATTAAGAAAGATACAATATTTGAACATCCAAAAGCACAGGCCAGGTGCAAAGGTGTCCTATATCAATATAACAAGACACAAAGTTAGAAATAAGGCTTAGTTTGAGATGATACTCTATTCATGCCAGATTATACATTAAGGTATGTATTTGCTAAATGTACTGATTTGTATTTAAACAGAATTTATATTAATTATAATTGCTTTTTACTGAATTATTCCTTGTGTAATAAGAAATGTGCCCAGCCCTCAAGCCAAACGCACAACCCAAAGGGCCAAAAGCTTTAAGCCCACCTAAAATAACTTTTTGTAGTAGCTTAGCAAATCCTAGCAAACATCCTAATTGTCTCCTTCATCCACTATTATACATATCCTAAGAATTTAGTCCCAAAGAACTTAGGTGTATTTTACTCGATATTTAGATCCATGTCTCCTTCCAACCCCAGGTCTCGTTTTTCATTAATTAATTTCATATATGTGTGTGTGTGTATATATATATATATATATATATATATATATATATATATATATATATATTGTATATGATAGCAAGAGCACTGTTCAGTACTGATGCTCTGAGTGTCAGATGCAGCCAGAGTCCAGCAAGAGCTCTGGTGCTCTGAGTCCATACATTCTTCCAAATTCCTTTAGACTATACCAGAGTAGGTTCCTTCTCACACCCTACTTGCTACACTAACTGTTGGGTCCAAGCCTCTCTGTCTAGGGTTGGACCTTCTTGGATGCCAGGTCTTAGGCGGAGAAGCCATGAGGAGTTACGGATGTATAAGAATGAGTCTTTATTGCAGGAGCCAGTGCCCACATAGCCATCAGACAACACAGTCCTTCACAGCAAAGTTCATAAAGGCAGTGGTACGCCATCTGGTAAACACATATCTTTCCTACATAGTAGCATTAATCTCTGTACCTATAGCTATTATCTGAGCAGTTGTATGCTGCCTCTAAAAATCACATCATAGTGGTATCTGAGCTTTTTGCCTCAGTAGCTTCTGCTGCCTGGCTAAGCAGCTTCTGTCTCCCTTGCCCAGCACACAAACTTGTTTTTGTAGCCTTACATCTCTGAGTAGCTACTCCAGCACACTTCTTCACACTCCAGCACACTAGCTGGTCAGTAACTTGTATATTATTCCAGAAACAAAAAAGGCTTCCTGCCAATAGTTACATCATCATATCTTGGTTACAGAAGGGCATGCATGAGCAGTATACTCTGGAATTATTGTGCTTGTGTCCTTGCACCTGCTTATGTTATCTTAGACTAGGGACAGAGTGGCCTCAACATTTGGTGCATTGACAACAAGGCCTTTATGCTTTAATTGGCCTTGACTATGGGTGTCTCTGGCGTGGTTCCCACAATACCCTACTCCAAGAACAAGTAAATGCTATTTGGGCACTTTCAATAGGTCTACCCAAAGTGGCTGCTACATGCCTGCTGGATAAGTTTCACTCTTTTAATTAAAGTCTAAACCTCACTGAGACAATTAATCTCTAAGCCCATCTGTATGCCCCAATGAACATAGGAAATCAGCCTTAAATTCAATAAAATAAAATGGCTAGAAAAGCCTCAGCTTTCTAAACAAGTATTGACCAATATAGTCCTTTGGTCTTTCACACACACACACACACACACACACAAAAAAACACCAAAACAACAAAACAAAACAAAGCAAAACAAAACAAACAAACAAACAAAAAAACACAGTGAAAACTAGACTAATCTCTCTTGATCAGGCATTAAATATTACAAAGTTTGTATCACTCAGAACTTCAAGATAGTATTTAAAGATTCTCTCTCGGAATATTTGGAATCTTATGAAATAATCCACTAAGGTTTAAAAAGACAAAATGTCTTAAAAACACACAGATTTAACATTTGCCTACATTTCATTTTAAGTTTTAGATTTAACTAATTTTAAATTCCAGAACTAACAAATGGAGTATGCAATAAAAGCTTTGTTATGGGCATTCACCAATGTTTGCACATAAAAAGTAAATGCTTTGAAGCCAGTAAGAATGTTTTTTCACCAAATGTCACAAACAAAAATGCTTGTTTTTTAAAACAGTGGAACGCAAAATGGATATGTGTAAATATCTTAGAGAAATATTTTAAAACCAAGAATATCATTCCATTTCTCAAAAATTCTTAACTTTTCTTTTATCAATGTATTTTATTTTCGGTCTAAGACATTAGTTTGTTTTGTCACTTTTTAACTGATCATACCTATTTACAAAACATCTAAATTCCATGAGGCCTAGTGCTCATTTCCAAAGTTTCAGGTTAGTTGATATTATTTTGTTTCACTCAAGTTTGGTTTTCTCCCAGCCTCTCACTCTCTCAAATATCAGTGAAAGAATTGTCAGCATAGATTGTGGACAGGTGAAAAATTGTCAGATTTTAGAAATCTCTAATTTAAATTTAACAAAAAGCATGAATTAGATGGAAGTCAAGTGTGGATGGTACTATGGAAGCTGAAATGAAAAGTTTTGTTCCTCTACTGCAGGGCCAGAACAGAACTGCAGTCTTTAATTAGGGGTTATCATAAGAATACTCTTTTTATTAATTGACTTTCTTGGGTTCTTGATAACTTAGAATCCAGGGTAAGTGACAAAGAACCCAATGAAGCTACTTTACACTAGGTCATTATTATGTTCAACTCTAGAGTGGGCATTTTAGGTCTATTCTAGGTTTCAGTAGTGTGACTAAAAGTATTAGTTTAAAATTGAGCCTTCACTTCTCAGATTATATATGATCTGAGGGACTTTTTATTAAAAACCAAAAAGGTCATTTAATTTTATAGTTGGAAGAAATACCAAACATCTCCTATTAATTTTCAAACTTATTAGACACAGTGTTCTTGAGATGAGCAACACAAAGTAGCAGTCTCCAGGGACCATTCTCATCCTACCTACTCCCCCTACCAATTCCATCTTCTCTTCAGAAATAGTGATTATAATTTTAGTATGTATCTTTTCAGAATTTATCTCTCTCATTCTCAATCTTTCTCCACACACAAATATTCAAGTAGAATATACAGCTTATATTTATTATTATTCTTAATTGAGGTGTTAATTTATATACAAAAATTTAGGTATAGAATTTTATAAGTTTTGACCAATATACAGTCATATAAACACCACCATAATCATAACAAAGAACATTTCCATCACTCTAAAAGTTCCCTCATACTCCTTTACAACCAATCCTCTTCTTCCCTCTCCATCTGAAACTCCAGCTACCTACTAATATTCTTTCTGTGGCTAAACTTTTGCCTTTTTTAAGAATTTAAACAGCCAAAGCCAGTTTGACTCAATGGTAGAGCGTCCATCTGCAGACTGAAAGGTCCCAGGTTCGATTCCGGTCAAGGGTATGTACATTGGTTGCGGGCACATCCCCAGTAGGGGATGTGCAAGAGGCAGCTGGTCGATGTTTCTAACTCTCTATCTCTGTCCCTCTCTGTAAAAAATCAATAAAATATATTTTTTTAAAAAGAATTTAAACAAATGTAGTTATTCAACATATAATCTTTTATGTCTGTCTTCTTTCACTTAGCATGACACTTTTGAGAATCATCCATGTTGTTGAATTTATGAGTAATTCATTTTGTATTAATAAAAGATACTCTTTTATTTCTGAGTAGTATTTTTAAATTATCATGTTTATCTTTGGATGGATGTATGTATTCAAAAATTATTAAGGACCTACTACAGTGAGGCTGGATTCTAGATGATAAGGAAGGATATAACAGGAAATAAAACAGACAAAAATACCTGTTCTTATGGATCAGATATGCTAGCAGAAAATTGAACACAAAGCTTATAATAAAAAGTACAAACAGCATTAAGTGCTAAGTAAAATCTGGCAGGGAATAAGGGTAGGAAATGTCAACAAGGAGGGAACCCTCACTGATAAGGTGATAAACACCCAAAGGAAATAAGAGAGAAAGCTCTGTGATTATCTGGGGGTAAAGCACTCCTGGCTAAGTAAACAGCAGGTCTAAGAGCCTAAGTGCATTTCTGGCAGTTCTGCAGAACACCAAGGGGGCCCGGGTAGCTGGAGATGACAGAAAGGAAGAGTAGTAGATAGTCAGAGCAGAAAGATAACAGGTGGAGTGATATGGCAAGCCAGTGGAAATTTTTAAGGCAAGCAATTACATCATTTGACATATATTATGTACAATCGTTCTGGCTACTATATTAAGAATAAACTGTAAAGGTTAAAAGACAGAAGACTAGTTAAGGAGACTACTGCAGTAATTCTGGTTAAGACATGATGGCTTTGATAAGAGTGGTAACTGTTGAAGTGTCAAGAAATGGTTGGATTTTATTTGAAGCAAGGCATGTTGTTGAATCAGATGGAGAATGTAAAAGAATAAGAAGAGTCAATAATGGCTCTGGAGTTTCTGTCCTAAACATCTGAACAAAAGGACTTGGCATTTATAGAATGAGAAGAGCAGATCTGAAGAGGAAAAACAGGAGATGCCTGATCTCATGAGCCAAATGTGAAATATTCAGGAATAATTAGCCAGTTGGCATCACATTGATAGCTTTAAATCAGGGCTTCTCTTCCCTCCAGCTCTCACCCCCATCCTTCCAAGTGCCTGTTACTGAACATTGAGGAGCATACCACAACCTATTACACATCCAAGGAGAGGGGGGGGGAGAGAGAGAGAGAGAGAGAGAGAGAGACAGAGAGAGAGAGTGTTAGGAGAGAGATCTCCCTGGAGGTAAAAAGAATTGGAAGGATTGGAACATAAATATTTAAAGCCAATCTCTCTTCACCAGGCAAGTGAAGATTGAAAGAGAGAAGACAAATAGAGATAGAGATTATAGCGAGAGCGAGAGAGAGGGCGAGAATATGAATGAGAATATCAATTCAAGGTATGAGCCCTCAAATTTTTACTAGTCAGGAGGATGAGGAGAAATCAGCAAAGGAGTCTGAAAAGTTTCCACAGAAGTAGAAGAAATGTCCTGAAAGACAAGACAATATTTCAGCTACTACTGAGAGGGCAAGTAAGATACTTGTCTGAGATGCCAGCCAGGTAAGGCTGAGAATTAACCACTGAATGAAGTCATATTGAGGTTCTCCATGACCTTGTAAAGTAATTCAAGGGAGTGTTACAGAATAAAAGATAAATTAGGTAACTCTGTTCTTGTTAAAGAGAGGGTAAAACTATCAGCAAGATGACACAAATCATCTTTCTAACCATAGTTTCCAGTTACCCAATTATGATGAAAGATGACCCCTTTCACGCCCTATAACTTAAAAACTCCTCAAAAGATATTAATATAGATGCAGATGGTATGTATTTTCTGTTATTAATGCCAAACACATAACAACTTCATTTCTTAATATATAAAATTCATTTTGTTTTGCAATAAGTGGTATTGATGGGATTTTGGAAGATAACTCTGCAATTGAAAAAAAATTATAAAAGATCCACATTATTCACAAATTAAAAAAAAGTTAAAGGAGTTCATCACCACCAAACCAGTATTATATGAAATGGTGAAAGGTATTCTTTAAAAAGAGGAAGAAGAAAAAGGTAAAGATAAAAATTATGAACAATAAATACATTATCTATCAACAGGTGAATCTAAAAATCAAGTGAATAAAAAAATCTGATGAACAGAATATACTGGTGAATATAACAGAATCAGGGGCAAAGAAAGGGAGTGGACTGACAATGCTGGGAGGGAGGAAGGGGTGTGGGGGTGAGGGAAGAGAATGGACAAAAATCGTACATCTATGGATCAGAGCAGTGGGGGGTTGGGGGGTAAGGTTAGAGATTGGGGTGGGAGAACCAGGTGGAGGGGAGCTATGGGGGAGAAAAAGAGGAACAATTGTAATGATCTGAACAATAAAGATTTATTTAAAAATAAAAAGATCCACATTAAAGAGTTCATTGTTTCACTGTTTCAAAGTCTCCATCTTAATAATCATTGATCTCGGATGTCACCTCTACTCTTTATGACTACATTAGTAATATGGCAAAGCCGTAGGTGGCTGGGGACAATACAGTACAACCTATAGGAAAGGGGAGGGGGGCGAGATTGGGAAACTGGAGTAGCCCGTGGAGGTGCAGGCAATGCGTGAAGAGGAAAGAATCGGAGGACACGAATGCCTTCACATATCCAGGTAAGCATTTTTAAAAAGAAGACGATGAAAGTTGGGAATGTAACCCTCGGGGCTAGCGTCTGCCAAGAGGGACCACCACCTGGGGAGCCCAGACAAGCCCTGCTTCCGGGCAGAGGACCCAGCGGCCTCCAGGGCCCCAGCTTCCCATCCCGGGCCTTTCGTCGCTCCGGTCACCTGAGCTTTCTGTCCTGAGTGTCCACGTCATGTTTCTTGAGCAGCAGGCACTCCTTCACCTTGTTCAGATCCCCCAGGGCAGCAGCTCTGTGAAGAGCCTTCAAGTCCCGATCTCGGAGGCTGTAGCCAGAGTACACCTGGGGCGCCACGGGGGCCCCGTGGCGGGGCTGCCAGGACGGGGGGCGGTGGGGGCCATCACTCCTCCTCCAGAAGGTGAAGAGCTTCTTCATGGCCGCAGGAGACCGCCCTCCGGTCAGGCTGGGGCGCCCCTGCGGCTGCAACCGCCCGGCATGGCCCTCTGCCTGGCCAAGGCTTCGCACCAGCCCCAGAGGCTGAGTGGCCAGAGACCGGAAGTGGGCCTGAGGCCGGAAGGAGGCCGATGACCGGAAGTGGGCCGATGACCGGAAGTGAGCAGGGCAGGTGCCTCACAATGCTCAGCTCCTAGAGCAACTGGAGTTGGGACCCAGTCTTAAGAGCGCCCAGACCTGATTCTCAGTGACTGCTACACAATTCTATTAGGTCAAGAGCCTTATAGGAGGATTGTATGGCAGTCACTGAGAATCAGGTAACTTTTTTTATTATTATTAAATCTTATTGTTGAAAAATATTACATATGTCTCCTCTTTTCCTCCATTGACCCCCTTCTAGCCTGCTCCCAACCCCCACCCCAGGCCTTCACCACCTTATTGCCTGTGCCCCTGGGTTATCTATATATGCATACACCTTCTTTGGTTGATCTCTTTCCATCCAACCCTGCCTTCCCTCTGAGATTCCTTAGTCTCTTCTATGTTTCTATGTCTCTGGATTTATTTTGTTCATCAGTGTGTTTTTTTCATTGGATTTCACATATGAGTGAGCTCATGTGATACTTGTTTTTCTCTGACTGGCTTATTTCATTTAGCATAATACACTCCAGGTCCCTCCATGCTGTCTCAAAGGGTAAGAGATACTTCTGTCTTACTGCTGCATCGTATTCCATGGTGTAAGCGCTCCACAGCTTTTTCAATCCACTCATCTACTGATGGGCACTTGGTCTGTGTACTGATCTAAACTATTGTAGATTGTACTGCTATAAACATAATGGTGTATACATTCTTTCTGATTAGTATTTCAGATCTCTTGGAATATATTCCTAGAAGTGGGATCACTCGGTTAAATGTGAACTCCATATTTAATTCTTTGAGGAAACTCCATATACTGTTTTTCCATAATGGTTGTACCAGTCTGTATTTCCATTACCAATATACTAGGGTTGGCTTTTCTCCACATCCTTGCCAGTACTTGTCTTTTATTGATTTGTTAATGGTAGCCATTCTGACAGGCGTGAGTTTCTTTTTGCAATTGTAAGTCCAGTTTTCCCAACACCATTTATTGAAGAGACTGTCTTGACTAAACTGTAAGAGACTGTCTTGACTAAACTTGCCTCCTTTGTCAAATATTAATTGAGCATAATTGAGCTTGGGTTCAATTCTAGGATCTCTGTTCTGTTCATTGATCTAGATGCCTGTTTTTATGCCTGTACCAGGCTGTTTTGATTACATGAGTTCATAATACCTTGATACCTGATATTGTGATTCCTCCAATTTTGTTCTTTCTTAAGATTGCTGTGGCTGGCTATTTGGTGTCTTTTTTTTGGGTTCCATGTACATTTTTTTTTAAGTATTTGTTCTATAACTGTGAAATATGCTATTGGTATTTCAATAGGGATTGCATTGAATCTGTGATTGCTTTGGGTAGGATGGACATTGTAATGATGTTGATTCTACCAGTACATAAACACAGTATATTCTCCCATTTGTTTATATCTTCCTCTCTCTCTCTTTCCAATGTCCTGTAATTTTCTGAGTAAAGATCTTTTATCTACTTGGTTAGGTTTATTAATTTTGTGTGGCAATGATAAATTGGATTTTTTTTATTTCTCTTTTTGAGAGTTTATTATTGATATATAAAAAACCCATTGATTTCTGGGTGTTAGTTTTGTATCCTGCTGCATTGCCAAATTCATTTATTAAATATAGTAGTTTTTCATGAAGTCTTTAGGGTTTTCTATGTACAAAATCATATCATCTGTGAATATTGAGAGATTTACCACCTTCTTTCTAATTTGGATGCCTTTTATTTCATCTTCTTGTCTAATTTCTATAGCTAGGACTTCCAGTGCCATGCTGAATAAGAGTGGTGAAAATGAACATTCCTGTCTTGTTCCTGTTTTAGTGTTTGCCCATTGAGTATGATGTTGGCTGTAGGTTTGTCATATATGGCCTTTATTAAGTTGAGATATGATCCCTCTATTCCCACTTTTATAAAAAATGGGTGTTGGATTTTGTTGAATGTTTTTCTGCATCTATTGATATGATCATGTGATTTGTGTCTTTCAATTTGTTTATGTGATGTATCATGTTTGTTGATTTGTGAATATTGTGCCAGCCTTGCATTCCTGGAATAAATCCCACTTGATCATGTTGTATGATCTTTTTAATATATTGCTGGATCCAATTTGCTAATTTTTGTTGAGGAGTTTAGCATCTGTTTATCTGAGATATTGTCCTATAGTTTCCTTTCTTTGTAGTGTCTTTATATGGTTTTGGAATTAGAATAATGCTGGTCTCATAAAAAAGAGCTTGGAAGTGTTCCTTTCCCTTGAGAAAAGGAAACTGTAGTCCATTGCTGGTGTGTATGCAGACTGGCACAACTACTGTGGAAAACAATATGGAGTCTCTTCAAAATAATTTAAAATGGAACTTCTTTTTGGCCCAGAGGTGATCCCACTTCTGGGAATATATTCTTAAACCCAGAAACAACAATCAGAAAAAAATATATGCACCCCTATATTCATAGCAGAATTATTTATAATAGCTAAGATTTGAAACAGCCAGGTGCCCATCGGTAGATGAATGGATAAAAAAGCTGTGAGACATGTACACAACTGTAAAAAGAAAGGATATCTTACCCTTTGGGACAGCATGGATGGACCTGGAGAATATTATGCTAAGTGAAATAAGCCAAACTGAGAAAGACAAATATCACATGAGCTCACTTATTTGTGGAATCTAATGAGCAAAATGAATTGACCAAAATAAACAAATAAATAAATAATACCTGAAACATGGAGGTATAGAATAGATTGACGTACCTGGATGTGGGTATTGTGGGGAGGGGGCAAGGAGAGATAAACTAAAGAACTTATATACTTATATGCATAGCCCATGGACACGGGCAATAGGATAGGGAAGACGGGGGGGGGGGGGGGTGAATATGGACTGGGAGGAAAGGGGTAAAGGAGGGGAAAATGGAAGACATCTATAATACTATCAACAACAATAAAAAATATATATATTTTAAAAAGTTATACTAAACTATTAAAAAAAAAAAAAACCCACAAACAGTGGCCTGCTTTAATGTTCTTGGTTCCTGGGCATAATAAACTTTAAAGCCTGTGTCCACAAAACAAAGAGGCAGCCAACTAGATGGGAGATAAAATTTGCTCTGACAAAGGTTTAATTTCCAAAATATATAAAGAACTCATAAAATTCAACACCAAACAAATAAACAATCCAATAAAAAAGTTGGCAGAGTACCTGAAAATACACCTCTCCCAAGAAGACATACCAACAGCCGATATATATATATATGAAAAGATGTTCAACCTCACTGGCAATTAGGAAAATGCAAATTAAAACTACAATGAGATATCACCTTACATCAATTAGAGTGGCCATTATCAACAAGACAATAACAAGTGTTGGAGAGGTTGTGAAAAAAAGGGAACCCTCATTCACTGCTGGTGGGAATGTAGATGGTACAACCACTATGGAATGCAATCTGGCGATTCTTCAAAAAATTAAAAATAGAGTTACTGACAAAACTGGTTTGGCTCAGTGGATAGAGCATCAGTCTGCAGACTGAAGGGTCCTAGGTTCAATTCCGGTCAAGGGCATGTACATTAGTTGCGGGCACATCCCCAGTAAGGAGGTGTGCAGGAGGCAGCTGGTCAATGTTTCTCTCTCATTGATGTTTTTAGCTCTCTATCCCTCTCCCTTCCTTTCTGTGAAAAATCAATAAACTATATATTTTTTTAAATAGAGTTACCATATAACCCAATAATCTCACTTCTAGGTGTATACCCAAAAAACTAGAAATCGTTTATACACAAAGATATATGCACCCCTGTGTTTATTGCAGCATTATTTCTGGTGGCCAAAAGTTGGAAGCAGCCCAAGTGCCCTACGATGGAGGGCTGGATAAACATGTGCTATAATATACAATGGAGAACTATTTTGCCATCATGCAGGATGAAATAGCATCATTTACAACATAGATGGACCTTGAGAACATTATGCAAAGTGAAATAAGTCAAACAGAAAAAGCTAAGAACTATAAGATTTAACTCATAGGTGGGATATAAAACGGAAACTCATGAACACAACAGCAGTGTGGTGGTTGCCAGAAGGAGGGGGATGGGGTCCTAATGTGAGGTGACAGAAGATTTGACTTTGGGAGGTTGGCACATGTCCTATATACTGATTTTGTAAATTAGTAATCCATTCATGAAATCTATATGTTCATGTAGAGTAATGTCACCCCAATAAAATTTAAAAATAAAATAATAAATAAATAAATAAATAAATAAATAAATAAATAAAGCCTATGTCCACCAGCTAGGAGAGACTCATTCCCAATGCCCCATCTAAACATCGGGGCTTCCTTCAGATATCCGAGGAACTTTGCCCAATAAAAGTCATGTTTATCAACTGAACATTTTCCGGTGCCTGCGGGTCAGCATCAGTGTGTTCCTGTTAGGCTTGGTAGATCCTTTCTAAAAATACAGAAGGGTCTCATTTGGTTTCTGTTGAACAGCCTCATCATATTCAGGCCCTTTTGTTTAGGCACCCCTTAAGCCCTCCCAATATGCACCTTTTGTAATGTTCTACGAGGGCTAAGTCTTCACCATTTGGGTCCCAACTGGGCTCTGTCAAGGGAGTCACCTCAGCTGGGTTGGGGGTGCTATTGGGATACAGCAAAGAACAGTGGGACAGCAAAGCTGGATTGGGCCCAGGCCCTAGGGAACGTCCATACTCTGGGCCACTTTCATGGGAGTGTTTCAGGTGAAGGACAACACCTCAGGCCAGGCCAGAGGCTAGGTGAGATGGCCCCTGGGCAGGGCATATTGCTGCAAGCCCTCCCAGGGACTCGCCTCCCCCAGTTCAGGAACGGGCTGCTCATCCCTCTGTCATCTTGGCCATCACTTTTCTCTAGGTGCCCATAAACTTCTCACTCTGATGTCTCTCCTCCTATTTTGAACTTGCTGTTCCACAGGCTCAAGTTCAAATC